AACCCTAAACCCTAGACCCCCGAAAGAACCTATGCCCAAAACCCCTTGTAGAAACCCTTATAGTAAACCTAAACCCTAGACTCTCCCTAAACCCTAAACCCTAAACCCTAAACCCTAAACCCTGGACTCTAAACCCTAAACCCTAAACCCTAATTCTTAGACCCCCGAAAGAACCTGTGACCGGCTGGGGGACCTCGTGCCGCCGGCTGACTGCCTCGGACAACCGGTGCCTGCTGGAGGGTTTAGGGTCTAGGGTGACAGGTTTAGGATTTAGGGTTTAGCGGGTTAGGGGTTTAGGGGGTTTAGGGGGTTTAGGGGGTTTAGGGGGTTTAGGGGGTTTTGGTGGGTTTAGGGTGTCGGGATTTGGCGTTCAGGGGGTCGGGCTTTAGGGCTTCAGGATTTTAGGGCTTGGGGTTTTGGTTTGGGCGTTTATTGCTTAGGGTTACTAGACGGGTTACTATCAGGGGCTACTCTTGCTGTAATATTCCCTAAACCCTAAACCCTATTAGGGTTACCTCGAGGGCTTTGGGCTACCTACAAAGGGTTACAACGGTACGGTTTAGGATTTAGGTTACAATGGTAGGGCTCGCTCAGGATTTTGGAGTATAGGGTTGCTTTTACAGCATTGTTCATGCAGTGTTCATACAGGGTGTCATGTGAATAATCAGAGCAAGGCCAAGGAGCAGTATCACAGACGTTGGTGTAAAGTGTTATAGGATTGCTGTGGGGTTTATAGGGTTCAAGGCTGCAGCCGCACTTACCAGAACAGGGTGTTGGAGTGCAGCAGGGCATGGTGATACTTGGACCTTTAGAGGAAATGTCCTGCTGAATGGCTCATACCTTGGGTTTGGGCAGTAGGGTTTTGCGTTGTTTAAAGTTTAATGTAGGGGCCTGAATAGTTAGAATAAGGTTTTTTTGGCTCCTTTACGCTATAATGAAATAATAAGGAACCCTAAACCCCAAACCCCTAACCCGAAACCCCAAACCCTAAACCCTGAACCCATAACCCTAAACCCTAAACCCTAAGCCCTAAACCCTAAACCCTAAACCCTAAAGCGGCTTAGGGCTCCGAACTTCGTGGGCAGGATCAGACAAGGGGTTCACAGCTCAGGGCTCCTGCTTTGGGGTAATGTAGGTGCCGTAATAGTTACCCAGACGGGTTTAGGGTTTAGGGTTTAGGGTTTAGGGTTTAGGGTTTAGGGTTTAGGGTTTACCCAAAAGGATCCAAAAAATAGATCCCCTAAGGGGATTCCTATAATCTACCCTTAGTAGTTAGGGTACCTAATTAGGGGATCTATTTTTTAGATCCTTTTGGGGGTCTGGGTAGAATAGGGTTTTAGGGGTTCCTTTTTATAATGATGGTAGAATATCCCCAAACCCCATTCTAATTATGAAGGCCCCTAAAGCCTAAACCCTTATAGTACCCTTTATAGTAACCCTTTTAAAGGAACCCTGAAAGGAACCCTATTCAAGTTTTTTAAGGCCTAAACCCTAAACCCTAAACCCTAAACCCTAAACCGTCCCTACATGAGAGGAGTGCAGATGATGCTCTTTGAGGTGGGGGCTCCGGGGTTCGGGTTTAGGGTTTAGGGTTTAGGGTTTAGGGTTTAGGGTTTAGGGTTTAGGGCTTTAGGGCTCTAGCGGTTTAGGGTTTAGGGTTTAGGGTTTAGGGTTTAGGGGTTAGGGTTTAGGGTTTAGGGTTTAGGGTTTAGGGTTTAGGGTTTAGGGATCAGGTTTTGGGGGTTTAGGGTTTAGGGCTTTAGGGCTTTAGGGCTTTAGGGCTTTAGGGCTTTCGGGCTTTCGGGCTTTAGGGCTTTAGGGCTTTAGGGCTTTAGGGTTTAGGGTTTAGGGTTTTAGGGCCAGCAGGCCTCTTCTGCTTCACCTTCTTGTCAATCTCCTGGTTCACCTGGCTCAGTGGTCTCAAGGGCTTTTTAAAGTGCTGGTTTTGGGTCTCCGAGGGTTTGAGGTTCAGCGCGAAATATTTTGTGTTCAAGCCAAGATAGTACCGAAGAAAAGACACTGAGAAACCCAAAGACTCTGGTCCTAAACCCTAAACCCTAAACCCTAAACCCTAAACCCCAAACAAGAAGGTCCTAACCTGCCACAAGCAAAGAGCTCTTGAAACCCCACGGAAAAACCCTGAAGCCCTCAACCCTTAGGGTTTAGGGTTTAGGGTTTAGGGTTTAGGGTTTAAAGCACCTGAACCCTAGAATCTACATGCAAGCCGCGGTGCGAAGCCCTCCTCCGCAAAAGCCCCCAGAACCTCTACATGGGTTCAGGGTTCCTTTAAAGGTTACTACAAAGGTCATTATAAGGGTTCTATAAGGGCTTCATGTAGGGGCATTGGTCATTCATAAGGCCTGCTAACTGACGGTAACTGACGTTTACAGAGTCATCCTTCGCCGAAGGGATTCAGCTTCTTGGGAAGCTGCCCCGCACGATAAAACTCAGACGTCTTTGCAACCCCAGAAAACCCAGTTCAAGGGTTTAGGGTTTAGGGCTTATCACAGCCTCCTAAACCCAAAACCCTCAACCCTAGAAAACCCAGTTCCGCAATCACAGCCTTTCAAACTTCCACCACTCACTTTGTCGAACCTTCATTCTGACATGCCGTAAGCCAAGAGTCCTAAACCCTCATGTAGGGGCCTTAATAATGAGAACAGGGTATTGGGATATATTATACTATGATTATAATAGGGAACCCCCAAAATAGTATTGGCAGTTATTTAGTCCCCTGCAAGAAACCCCAAATCCTAAACCCTGTTACCGAGACAAACCCTACAGAACCAACCCGACATAAGCCTTGTAAGGCTATGTGAAGCTCTACGAATCACCCACATCAAAAAGCTGTCTGGTGCTTAGTAGGGAATGGGGGAATCGATCCCTATGATAGTCCCTTAAGGTCCCTTATAGTACTCCCTATCACCCATTCCCCCATTCCCTACTACGCACAGAAAAGTAAACCCCGAACCCTAAAACCCTAAACCCTAAACCCTAAACCGAAAAGTAAACCCCGAACCCTAAAACCCTAAACCCTAAACCCTAAACCCTGAACCGAAAAGTAAACCCCGAACCCTAAAACCCTAAACCCTAAACCCTAAACAGTAACCGAAAAGTAAACCCCGAACCCTGAAACCCCCGCGAAACAGGCCACCTCGTCCATTTCCGACTCCCAAGCCTTGACAAGCTCTTCGGCCTCTTCGTAAGACATTTAGGGCGTTAATGTAGGAGTTTCCGAAAATAGGGGACCCTAATATAGTACCCTAAATAGTAGGACCCTTATTATAAGGACTCCCAAATAAGGTATCCTGATTTTCGGAAACTCCAATGTAGGGGCCTTATTTATTAGGATAGGGTATTAGGGTATATTAACTATAGCTACAATGAGAAACCCCCAAAATAGTATTCGTAATTGTTTAAGCCCCTGCATTAAGTGAGCGTAGAAGACATCTATGGGGAGTTTATGGGGCTTCTTGTCGAGGTTTGTATTAAAGGAAACTACATGTGGGGAGTTTCGGGTATACACGGCTTCCCAAAGGCTTCTATAAGGTCTATATATAAGGCTCCTATAACGGCAACTACACACCTGAAAAATGCCCTAGACCCTAAACCCTAAACCCTAAACCCTAACCCTTAACCCTAAACCCTAAACCCTAAACCCTAAAACCCTAAAGAGTGCATTGGGGTTCGATAACGGCAACGAGCGAAGGGAGGGCTGTCCGGATCTCGGATGTAGGGTGTAGAGTTTAGGGTTTAGGGTTGAGGGTTTAGGGTTTAGGGCTTCGGCGGCAATCGAGTTTACATCGGGTTGTGTTGTGCTTTAAACAGCTAAGGCTTTGGGCTAAAAGTGTGAGGTTCTGCTTGCTACAGTTTTGTGCCAGCACTGTACTCTCGCCAGTACGGAGATGTCAATCTTACTCTAACGCTGACACCCGAACACCCAAACCCAATAGGCATGAACCCAATGCCCTGGAAGCCCTAAGCAAACGGTAATGTAGGGGCCTACATAGTTAGAAAAGGTTTTTGGGGCCCATTATACGAAACTTGCAATAAGTAACCCTTAAAATACTATAGGTAATTATTTGGGCCCCTACAGTAAACCCCAAATCCTAAACCCCGTTATCGAAACAAACCCTACACCTCAAACTCGAACTCTTTAGGCCCCTATATTAACTTGCTCAGGAGACTCCCAAGCAGCAGGCGCAGTTTGAGTTTAGGGCTTTACAGGGCTTACATAAGGGGTCCTTGATCTCACCTACCTTTATCCCTGCTTGTGATGCCCTTGATAGGTGGCCCAAAAATTTTTGCGCGACTATAGACGGACTTTCAGAGCCCACTATTGCCCATTACCCAGACCTCCATAGTGAACCTTCTACCCGAAACCGACACTGTGAGACGGTCACCTTCCCCATCAGCGTCTTAAAGAGCTGCTCACGCACGTCCTGGCTCGGTGGCCGGGGCTTCGTAGCTCTGTGATTTGCGCTTTTTAATAAGTTGTAGGGTTTGAAGGGTGTGAGCGTTTAGGGGTTTAGGGTTCAGGTCGGTAGGCAGGCAGGAAGGCAGGCAGGCAGGCAGGCAGGCAGGCAGGCAGGCAGGCAGGCAGGCAGGCAGGAATAACATAACGTGACGCAACATAATGAAAGAAAGGCAAGCATCAGTAAGTAAGCATGTAAGTAAGTATGTAAGTACGTGCGTTGGTAAGTTTGTTTGTTTGTATGTTTGCTCGTTAGCTTGTTGGTGAGTTGGTCATATTGGTTTAGTTAGTCAGTTAGTTAGTTAGCTAGCTAGCTAGCTAGTTAGTTAGTTGGCTCGTGAGTTAGTCAATTTGCTAGTCAGATAGCTGGCTAGCTAGTAAGTAAGTATGTATGTATGTATGTATGTATGTATGTATGTATGTATGTATGTATGCATATAGGTGGAATGCGCCTGCACATACATACTGTGTAAATGTGTGATTGTAGACATATACAGATACTTATATATATATATATATATACAGACCTGGGAGTTTCCGAAAATAAGGGGTACCGGGGTACCTTATTTAGGGGTCATTATAATAAGGATCCTACTATTTAGGGTACTATAATAGGGTCCCCTATTTTCGGAAACCCCCACCTACAGATAGATATAAAGATGAACACAGATAGGAGCTCAGACAGCAAAGCCACGCGAGTTCTACGAGGGGTTCAAAGTTTCGAGTTCAGGGTTTAAGGGTTTCGTATAAGCGTCTGAATGATTAGTAATCTCCCTTGATAGCCCCTATATAGTTATATCACAAATACTAACCCCTATTCTGACGGTTGAGGCCCCTACACTCGAACCATTAAAACCCTAAAGCCACCCTTCAGAACCCTATTGAAACCCTATGAAAACTCTACACAAGCCTACTACTCTAAGCATTAAGCAGAGCTCTCTAAATTAGGGTCCCTTCTTCGGTCCCCAGAATAGCACGGCACCCTTATAAATAGGACGATGAAAAGGACCCGAATTTAGAGAACTACCCACCTGAACCCTGAACCCTCAACCAAACCCCTAAATCCTGAACCCTGGACCCTTAAACCCTAAACCCTTAAACCCTAATTTAGAGAACTACCCACCTGCTGCAGTTGCTTGAAGAAAGCTGCAAAGGTTTCGAGCCACTCAGACTCCACCTGCGGAACTGGGTTCTTGTAAGGGATTTAATTTAAGTTACCATAATAAGGAAACCATATTATTTACTATAGATCCCTATTATGGTAACTTAAATTAAATCCCTTAACAAGAACCCAGGGAAACAGGGCCCAGGATGGGTAGCTCGGGCTTTTCAGCCTTTTTAGGCTTTAGGTTTTGGGGTTTAGGGTTCCGGATTTTAAGGTTTAGACCCTAAACCCTAAACCCTAAATCCTATTAGGGTTTAAGGGTTGAGGCTTCAGGGTTTTTAAGTTTAGGGGTTTAGGATTTGGGGCTTAGGGGCCCGAGGATTCGGGGTTTCGGCGGAGCAATGCATGCCACCGCCGAAGAAGGCCGAGGAGATCCCGAAACATAGGGTTTAGGGTTTAGGGTTTAGGGTTTAAGGTTTAGGGATTAGGGATTACGGTCTAGGAAGGTTTAGCGTTTGGGGTTTAGGGTTAAGGGTTTAGGGTCCCAAGCAAGCCCAAGCCTAATGAGGCCTGATTTCGGTGACGTCGGTTGTCAGGTTAAAAAAGCCCGGTGCACCCGAAACCCTGAACCTGTGTGAAGTAAGGTCTTCATTACTAAACCCTAAACCCTAAACCCTAAACCCTAAACCCTAAACCCTAAACCCCAAACCCTAATCCCAACCCGGACGCCCCTCATATGTACTGGCCCAGAATTCCAAGGAGCGCTCTATAGATTCCACCAAACCCTAAGACAAAACCTACTTCATATGGGTAGTTCTCTAAATTAGGGTCCCTTTTAGGGTACCCTAAATAATAGGTGCCGTATTAAACTAAGGACCCAAAAAGGGACCCTAATTTAGAGAACTACCCATATACACCCTGCCAAATCCCTAACAAAACCCTTTGAAAACATTCTACATCATCATCATCACAGACATGACAATGCCGTTTAAGAGCTATTGAGGCTCTTTACCCTAAACTCCTGAACCCCAAACCCCAAAACCCCTAAACCCTAAACCCAAACCCGGCCAAGCGCGAAGGAATGATCTCCCAGTGAAGCGAGACATCTCTCCGTAGGGGTGTCCACGGTTTGGGGTTTAAGGTTGCCTCTGCACTTTCCAATTTGGGATCTTAGGGCCCCCAGAAAGTGGATAGGGATATCCCATATTTAACCCCCTTAAAATGAAGCACAAAAATGTAGGGATATCCCTGTAAAATGCTTATGCTTATGTCCTTTTTGGGTTCCTAAGATCTGGCTTTGGGCTCACAAGTATGGCTGAGCGGCTGCTTACTTCGCACAGTCAACCCTTGGCTTGATAATCCCTAATGTAGAGAGGCCTTAAAAATTGGAATAGGATTTTGGTGCCCGTTATACTATAACTATAAGAAGGAACCCCTCAAATAGTATTATTTAGGCTGCTATATCAAGGACTGCCGCAAGGTATGCACACCTGGCCCATAATGGCATCCAGCTGGCCAATTTCCTCGGCACACCTGGGCTCTTGTTGCAAGATAGAGGTCTGAACTGGTAGTATTTGACAAGAAAACCCCGTTTAGCCACTATCTAATCTAACCATATTGGTAACACGCCAAGACCCTGTTCAATTTGTGAGAGCCGCTAGGTTAAACGCCGTAAACCTTGCAAACACCCTTCAAAACCCTTTGCAGCCCCATGAACAATCCTTAGACACCCCGTAGACTGAGGGCTTAGGGAGTTGGGGGTTGTAATGTAGGGGCCTGAATAATTAGAATGGTGTTTTGGGGTCCTTTATAGTATAATTATACTAAGGGATCCCCAAAATAGTATAGGTAATTTTCAAGGCCCCTAATTAGGGTTTGGGGTTCAGATGCCCAAGAAAGGGCTTGAAGAACCGGCACGGCAAAACCCTGAAGCTCTGAACCCTAAACCCTATCCCAAAGCCCCAACTTATGTTGAGGGTGCAACGTTTGAGGTAGATCTGGAACACCCGCGTTCTTTTGGGTTTCAAGGTTTGCGGTTTCAGAGTTTCAGAGTCTAGGAATGTTAAGCTCTAGTTTAGGGGTTTATGGGTTTAGGAATTGTAGGGTTTCGAAAATCTGTGGGAATTTGGAGGCTGGGGAAGTTTGGTCGCTTAGGGTTCAGGAATGTCCTGACTCAGGGGTTAAGCAGCCTAGGGACGTCAGGGTTAAGAGTTCAGGGAGGTTCGGCGCTTTGGGTTTACGGCTTTTGCAGGAGTCTGCGGGGTGTACAGCTTTGGGTTTTGGGTTTAGGATTTAGGGTTTAGGGGTTTGGGGTTTAAGGTTTAGGGGCCTAAACCCTAAACCCTGAACCCCAAACCCCAAAACCGTTCATGAGCTTGAGGCTTAGGCTTTCTGGAGTCGACGGTCGCGAACCTCGAACCTTAATATAGGGGCCTTAATAATTAGCATAGGGTTTTGGGGCCCACGAGACTATAATTATAAGAAGGACCCCCAAAATAGTATTGGGAATTATGGAGGCCCCTACATTATGCACTAACGGCCGGGGGAAACTTCGCCAAATCCCCGCACTCCCTCAGACCCCTAAACCCTAAGTGTGTATGTAGCTCCCCGTTTCCCACTCTACCCCAAACTCTACGTACTAGATTCCAACACAACCTAAACGGTTTAGGGTTTAGGGTTTAGGGTTTAGGGTTTAGGGTTTAGGGTTTAGGGTTTAGGCGGGGCTTGGGGTGCTCTGGGTGTTAGGAATCTTGGGGCTTAGGAGTTTAGGGCAAGAGGCTTTGGAGGATGAGGGTTGCTTTCGTTGTTAGGATGTTAGGGTTCAGGGCTTAGGGCTTTAGGGTTTTAGGGCTTAGGGTTTTAGGGTTTTGGGGTTTAGGGCTTTAGGGTTTTAGTGTGTAGGGTTTAGGGTGTAGGGTTTTCATGCCACGCGGCTTTCGCACCAAGGTAGCTGCCTGCCCAGCAAAGAACTCTAAACCCCGAACCCTAAAACACTAAACCCTAAACCCTAAACCCTAAACCCTAAACCCTAAAACACTAATACCCCTACACCCCTGGGCCCGACCCCTAAACCCCGCAAAACCCCATAAACAGCCAAACCCTACACCCTAGATCCTAAACCCTAAATCCTAAACCCTTAAACCCCTAAATCCTTACACCCCTAAACCCTACACCCTAAACCCTAAACCCTAAACCCTAAACCCTAAACCCTAAACCCTAAACCCTAAACCCTAAACCCTTAAAACCCCGAAACCCTGCTCGCCTCAGCCCCAAACCCTCGGGACCCGCCCTAGACCCGAACCTGGCCCTGGCCCTGCCTTTAGGGTTTAGGGTTTAGGGTTTAGGATTTAGGGTTTAGGGTTTAGGGTTTAGGGTTTAGGGTTTAGGGTTTAGGGTTTAGGGTTTAGGGTAGATCACACGAACAGACTGACCCCTGGGGTAGCTCCCTAAGAGGTTTAGGGGTTTAGGATCTAAGGGTTTAAGGGTTTAGGGTTTAGGGTTTAGGGTTCAGGGTTTAGGGTTTAGGGTTCAGGGCGGTAGTTCTTTAACAGAGGGTCCCCTTTTTGGGTTCTTTTTGTAAGGGTGCCGTACTATATTTGGGACCCGAAAAGGGACCCTAAATTAGAGAACTTCCCTTCAAAAAAATGCACCCCAAACCCTTGAAGCCCAGAAACCCCCGAACTCAAAAGAGGCTTTCGGCCTTAGGGTTTAGGAGCTTAGAGCTTTGACTTACGGTTTAGGGCTGGTGGTGTGACCACAGACGAAGATTTGGTTTGGCTTTGTTAGAAGCTGCCCCGACGATGATGATGATGATGATGATGGCGCTGATTCGGTGACCTCCAGGAAGCCCAGCAATCGGATTGCGACTGTGGTCCCTTGCTCCCGCTGGTTGGAGTTCATGCACGACAACCAGTTGAAAGAGGTCGGGAAGGGTGGCCAGTTGCCAGGTCGGCTGTCCAGGTCCTTGATACATCGGAGCATACAGGATCCATATGTCAAAAACATCGCCATCAACATCCAGGAAGCTTCTGCATGCCACGTCTTTGAAGAAAGCAGGCACTGCCTGCCGTTTCGATTCACACTTATGATCTCGTCCCAGGCCTTCCATACTTAATTGGAAAAGAGCCCGTGGTGGCGCCCGTGCCTCCGATCATGAAGAACGAGCAGTAAACCCCCCTTGTAGACCCAATTTAGCTATGCCCCTTTGTTTGCTGCCAAGGCATGAAGCCCTCACTTTGAAGTGCCAGGGAGAAAAAAGTATAGACTTTAATTTCATAATGGTTCCCTTAAGGAACAGGTACCAATAAAAGTATTCAGGTATGGTACTCCAGAACCCAGAAGCCCTAAGCCCTAAACCCTAAACCCTAAAACCCTAAACCCTAAACCCCAAGAAGCCGCCCGGTCAGAGGCTACCGGACGGTTTGATGCAGCTGCGAGGATCCTTGACCCGGTCAGCCCTAAACCGAAAGCCAGGGTGTAGGGTTTAGGGTTTAGGGTTTAGGGTTTAGGGTTTAGGGTTTAGGGTTGTGCACGTCTAAACTCCAACACCAAGCACTCAATTCCCACCCTCCTTCCTGGACAAAAACAACTCAACCCAAAACCCAAAGCAGAACCAGGGTTTCTGAAAACGATCAGAGGGCCTTTAAAAACCAGAAGAAGGTTTTTTTTAACTCAACCCAAAACCCAAAACCCCTACAGCTGCAATTCCTAGGGCCCTAAACCCCAAACTGCCGAAACCGGAAGCTATAAGCCTCAAAAAAGCCAAAAAATGGCCCTACATGAAGTTTGCAATTTCGGAACACGCGGTCTGAAAGGTCATGCTATGGAAGCGAGTTTTTGGCTGAACTCCCTCTTCTCCAGCATCCCACGGGTCTCCCAAAGGAGTCCTAACCCTAAACCCTAAACCCTAAACCCTAAACCCTAAATCCAAAAAACGAAACTGAACAAACTCAGGATGCACAAGGCAGGAGACGGTTTAGGGGTCTTAGGGTCTTAGGATTTAGGGTTTAGGGTCTTAGGACTTAGGGTTTAGGACTTAGGGTTTAGGGTCTTAGGGTCTTAGGGTTTAGGGTCTTAGGACTTAGGGTTTAGGGTTTTAGGGTTTGGGGTATTAGGGTTTAGGGCCTTAGGGTCTTAGCGTCTTAGGGCTTAGGGTCTTCGGGTTTAGGGTATTAGGGTTTAGGGTTTATTGGGGCTAAGGCCGTTTACTATTCCACGGTTGAGGGTCCAGGGCCTGTCTTAGAAAGGAAAGACGTGTAAAGAAGCACTATGAAACCATGAGCCCCCTAAACCCTAAACCTTAAACCCCTTAAACCCTGAACCCCTAAACCTTAAACCCCTAAAACCCCTAAACCCTGAACCGCTAAACCCCTAAAGACTCTAAACCCTAAACCCTTAAACCCTAAACCCCTAAACCCCGAGACCCCTGAACCCCGAGACCCCAAACCCAGTTTGCAGCCAGTGCCACCTTCGCATCGCCGCGTGCAGTACACCGCCGGATCGCCTCCTGGCCCTTTAGCCAGAGGTTGTACCTGCTTTCAGGGTTAGGGTTTAGGGTTTAGGGTTTAGGGTTTAGGGTTTTCGGGCTCATTAGCGGGTTTAAGGTTTAGGAGTTTAGGGTTTCAGGTTTAGGGTTCGGGGTTTAGGGGTTTAGGGTTTAGGGTGTAGGAGTTTAGGGTTCAGAGGTACATGCGGCTTTCGGGAGGCGTTTGGCTCAGGGTGATGACTTTGGGGCGCAGGGGCTTTAATGTTTACCTGGACCCCAAGAAACCAAGTCCCTAAACCCTAAACCCTAAACCCTAAACCCTAAACCCTAAACCCTAAACCCTAAACCCTAAACCAAGTCATGCGGGTTCAGCATGTAGGGGGCCTCGGTGTTGGGATTCCATCGCGGTTCTGCAAGATTTGGGGTTTAGGGTTTAGGGTTTAGGGGTAGATATATAGGAGGTTTTTGTGCGGGTTTAGGGCTTGGGGTTGGGGATTTAGGTTTCGCATGAGCAGCGCACAAGGTAAGGGCTTTGGAATCCTTTGGAACTTATCTACATGAACGTCAGCATGTTCATTGTTCTCCTCGGCACAGTAAACCCCTTCCATGCCACTTCGCAGTTCGCACGATCATTCGCCAACTCTTTTGTTATAGTTACCCATATTATTTTGGGTGCTCCTTAATATACTTATAGTATAATGGGCCCCAAAACCCTATTCTAATCATTAAGGCCCCTGTTGGTCCTCCCACGAAATCCCGAACCCTGAACTTCTAAACCCGCAAGCTCTGAAACCCTAGACTCCAGATCATAAACGCTTTAGGGTTTAGGGTTTAGGGTTTAGGGTTTAGGGTTTAGGGTTTAGGGTTTAGGGTTTAGGGTTTAGGGTTTAGGGTTTAGGGTTTAGGGGTTTAGGGGTTTAGGGTAATGTAGAGGCCTCAATACTTAGCATAAGCTTTTGGGGTGCCTTATTATAGTTATAGTATAATATACCCCTAAGCCCTATTCTAATTATT